TGTGTGTGTGTGTGTGTGTGTGTGTGTGTGTGTGTGTGTGTGTGTGTACACTCACCTCTCTCCACTGTTTGGTTTCAACACCTTGCGTATAAAGCACACATACTGTGGAAACAAAGAACCAGATAGAGACAGGAAGAGAAAAAATGTTGTGAAAGAGAGAAAAAAAGAAGGGAAAAGAAGAGAGATAATCAGAGAATTGCAGGCAGATTCCAAATAGGAAATCAATGTGAGGGGTTTAGCTCCAGTACAGTGAACAAACAACCGTGGCACTCTGAGCAAAACAAAGATTTTCCAAATCATGGGGCTACATATCCACAAACAAGAGAAGAGAGATTGGCTACTGTTAGAGAATACCTGCACAGACAAACATTCAAACACAGAGTCTCTACAACGTACTCACATGGATCTGACTTTGAGAATGTGTCTTTATCCAGCAGATCTCTGGAAAACAATGAAAAAGAATGGAAACATTTGTTACACAGCAACAAAGAACCTCTTGTAAATGCTGACATGTTGCTGTCACAGAGGTCTGAAGTAGTCTATTCAAAACCGTTTTTAGGTGAAATTGCACCTTTTATATGTTCTGTGTTTTGACTTTTGTGCTTACATATATTGTTGGTATATTTAAACACAGCACCAGACAGAATCTAAATTAAACTATTGTCTTTGTTTAAAAAAGAAAAGAAAACATTTCACATGTTTCTTTATCAATCCCCATTGAGATGAAAGAAACAAAACTTTACAATGTTAAATGATTATATCGAGCCCCTCTCCTTCTGAAAGATATATCCCCAACATGTTTGGCATCAAAGGCTACATAACAACTGGCAAATAGCTCAAGGAAAAGAATACAGTAGTAGGTGGCAGTATGACTTTAAATTAAACACAAGAGGAAGACAAACGATGGTCCTTCACACCCTCAACATTAATATTTAATATTGCTGTTCTGCCGTCGCCTTCTGATCAGTTGTTAAAAGAGAAGTGTCTTTTTGGGGGCGTGTGTTCAATCATGAAAGCGGATTAGACCTTGCTCAGGTGGAAGTTGGGAGTACATATGCTGTGAATTACACAACAAATCCTTCAAAATAAAAGAAGTAGGTTGTTTCTTCATGTGTCTCCAGGACGACACGTAGGTAGTGGTGTACGTTGTCCCACCCAAAGCCTCGGTTTTACTCCCAAACGGACACCACAGGCGCGTAGTAGTTTTGTTTACATTGTCCGCTTGGAGGTCACGTTCCACACATGGTTAGAGGTAAAGAGCTAAAAGATCTAAAGCAGGGCTCACTAACAGGCGGACTGCGGAAACAAGTGGTTTCAGCCACAGATAAAGTCCCTGCACACAAATGTCTCTTATTAGAAGATAAGAAAAGTATAATATCATGTTTTTTTTGGTTGACTTAGCACAAGCATATCATTTTCTGTCTTTAACCTTTGTTGTGAATCAATGCTGCAGGCACTAATCAAGCTCAGGTTCAGAGGATTCATTTATATTGTGGTCTCTGATGGGGCATCCACCGAAATGATGACTTCTGGTATTTATAAGAATAAAAATAATAAGAATAATAACATTTAATGAGAGGCATAACACTTTATTTGAGTTATGCCTCTCATTAAATGTTATTATTCTTATTATTATTTTTATTATTTTATTATATCTGCCTTACATGCCCATAAATACACCATAGTACTTCTCTAAAAGACTTGTGGGCTCAAAGACTTATATCTGAGAAAACACTAAACATTTTATCACTATTTGTCTACTGACAGTGAGATGTTCAAATGTCTTCATGTCAAGTGTTTGCCAAGTGTGTGTGTGTGTGTGCCCATCAGCATGACTTTCATTAGGAGACAATACCACCAAGTGTTTCTTTCATATTGTGTTGTTTTTGAGTTCAACATTTTCTTTATTGTTATTGTTGTTGTTAAGATTTGTGAAGTGTGCACATTGGCTTCTCTGGGAACCTCTGCAACCTACAATGACCTATAAAATCCTTCTCTGCTCAGACCTGCAATGACATCAATGTGTATCTTTTGAGAACTTTATCCAGTTTTACACAATATAACTAAAATAGATGCTAGATTGGGATTGACTTTCCAATTCGGCATGGATTTTAATAGACTTTCAAATAATATGTAAGTCCAAGTGTATACCTCGCTTGGCAAATGAAGGTGTTCATTGGAGTCAAGTCCAGACAAACTGAAAAGGGCCGAGTAACCTGGATCTTAAAGAATGAAACTAAAGCGAACTGACAATCCAAATAAAGTATTTTCATACCACAGCCAGTTCACAGGAAACAACATGAATATATTACAAGAACTGTCCAACACAGCAGCCAATTCATTCACTGAAAATTGCTCATCCAAAGCCCTTTCTTTTTTCTCTCTCCATAACTTAATCTATCAACCACCGCTCATGTTCGAGTGTCTGTGTTACACCTCCATCATGCTTGCGTGACCTTTTTCATTATGCCTGCCAGAGGCTACTGTGAACCCAACTCTATTACCCTCCTTGTTTTATTTTGCTCGCTTATTCACTGCAGTGACACGAGAGCCCTCACTCAAGAAGCCGAAGCCCGCTGGCATCTCTTGATTTTTGTTTTCTTTTCTTTCTTGTTTCATTTTCCTCTACAATCTCTCCTGTAATAAATCTTCAGCTGTGTTCTTTCGCCGCCATCAATCTATTTTGATCTTTCCTCTGCCTCTGTATTTCTTCCTCCCTCACTCAAGAGCGGGTTGAGAAGACAAGTGAAAAACATGAAATCTTGAAATCACATGTTTTTCATCTCATGTTCAAAGTTACAAAGACGATACTTTCTGATGTTCTGAGATTGAAGGTCATTTCAATTTCGAGCCTCAGGGTACACGGTTCCCGGCAAAAGTGCCTTTTATTACAATTTGATCTAAATTGAAAAGATTTGATGATACCAAAGCAGGATGATCAAATATGCAAAATGGAGAATACACTTCACAGAGATTAAAAGTACTTTTATCCTTATCAGAGATATTGCATGGCTACAACTCCAGTAGAGGAAAAAACATCTTGCCATTTTCAGTTTAACATGCTTGCATGCAAAATATCTCAGAAATGTTTCGTCTCGAACAAATGGATGCTTCGTTTGCTTTAATTTATTCAGCCCTTATCCAAATACAAGTTCACTGATTGCTCCCTTTCCATCCACCAACACACCCTAGTAGCCCTCAAAGGCCACATTAGCACACAACGTGATGCGACAATCTCTATTTATTTCTAAATTTAAAGTAGAAACTCCTTGAAAAAGAGAGAACTGTGGAGGCTGTGGAGGGGGTTGCTTTTTTTCTTACTTCATATAAAAATCCTACATTCCTCCTAATAAAGACAGTATGGGAGTCTACCTGACCTTTCATTTATTCTATTTTTATTTGAAGAGCTGCTCTGAGTGCATCAGATTGTTTCCTATAGCCTGTCCTCACAAATTAGAAAATAACCAAAGCCAGTGTGTATAAAGGTTGACACGTAGTACCATTATCTTTTTGTGTGTTTGTAGAATAATCATGCAAGAAGAAATAAGTAAATGTCAAAGACATTTTTTACTGTGTGGGAGCCAACTGGAAAACCTTTTTTAACATTGTGTTTATGGCCTCAATCGCTAGTTTCAAGTCTTCACAGCATGATGTTCATTTAGTAAATGTTGGTCCCATTTAGAGGAAAATGGATCATAAACTAGGGTATCCTTTAGGAAGTGGCTACCTTGTGATTGACAGGTCGCTACCACGGTGTGGTCCTGTCTAGGTGTGTGTGTGTTTGTGTACGTGTGTGTGTGTGTGTTTTTTGTATGTCTGCATGCCCAGAAACAATCAACCAAGAATGCAAACATCCAACCAATTATTGTAGTATTCCCTCCCTTTCTCCCTTTCTCCGCTACTTTTGTTCATTGTTTTCCTGCAAACTGGCTCAAAATGAATCTGCTCATATATGTCATCCACCACTGCCTCCTCTACATCTTTGTTATTTCCACCTTCTGTTCATCTGTCGGCTGTGTACTATCCCTCTGATGCTCTCTCTCTATTGTCTCTTGTGTTAAACGTATAGCATCAAAATGCTTTCATCCCTGTGCTCGTTATTTTTCAACACTCACTCAGTCAACGCATATATATATATTTGAAATCTCTCTATCCCATCCCAATTACACGCAGGGCTCAAATCTAAAAATAAACAGCAGATGGTGTATAAAAGAAAAACAGTTTCATCTCTCCCCGCAATGCATTATTGAAGCAAACGTTTTCACTCATGATTTATACAGTGTTACGTTGATGTGATAAAGGATTATCTGGAAACAAAATCCCGTTGCGACTAAGTCAATGTTGATGTATTCTAGTTGATGTTCAGTGACTCTTACTGTCCTATGAAAACATCTCAGGACAACAGTAACTTTATTAGGACTGATATCTTCGTGGTCTCATGTAAGCTTTTTAGCAGAAGCCATCTTTTATAGCCAGAGTGTCTGAAGTGTGAAGATGGCCAGCTAACACCATATCATACAATACATTATATCATTTAATAACTTATGATGGAAAGCCAACTATTTCTGCCACTCCATAAACCATGTTGCTCTGTGTATAACACAATTTATTTGTTCAATTGACACATTATTATACTGGATGTCGCAAAGATCAAATGAATAATGGCCATCATGATGTTTGCCATCATCAAAGAAAAGCCTTTCGCTACAATTAAAAGCATAAAAGCTAAAAACAAGCATCAAAAAGAGAGGCGCTTGGGGTGTATCCATTAGCAAACAACGTAATCGAAAGAAAAAAACACTCCATAATTACACATAATTTAAACGACATCAAAAAAGTGAAAAGGCCGACAGAATACAGTTTTACAAAGTGGGGGGTCATTTTCTGCTCCAATTAAATAATTAAAAGTATTTGGTGCCATTATATTATTAAAAGTTTCTACTTTCTAACACCTGTGCTCTAGTCCTCAACTCTCCTGTCTGTCTAGATATATGAGGGAAGGATGAACTGCAAGATTTGGTGGAGGAGCGGCAATTTGTAAGCTGCAAATATTCCTAATATGTGCAATATATTGAATTTTCATTTTTGCTGTGAAAATTCTGGATGGAGCGTTGAGTTTCATTCATGAAAGCTTAATGTTGTTCTAGGAAAAAGGCAAAATGAAGCACCTCACGTACTCTTGCTGTACTGATGCAATTAGTGCTGTGGGAATGAATATTATACAGAATTAATCATGAGCTGTTGTAGTATAGGCTACAGGTAATTTCACCCCCTTCAATGTGTTTTTTTTACCTATTTGTTGGTTACTCCCCAGACTATTATTCGAGTGCATGCTTTTATATGAGAATTTACGCTATAAAAAGTTAAGCATCACTTTAATTAGCCAATAAATTGGCTTTCAATATGATGGGAGACAGTTGATTGAGGACGAACCAATTTGA